AAGACACCACAGGATTTTCTCCTTTTGAAATGTTATATGGAGCTAATCCAAGAGGTCCTATAACTACTTTCAAAGAATCACTACTAAAGTCAAACCATGATGCATCAGTTAAGAAAACTGCATTTCAGCATGTTCTCAATACAAGAAATACAGTAATAAATGCATGTGAAAAAGCTAAGGAAGCAACAGCCAAAGCTAACACTGATAGTCATAGAAGAATAAATGTAAATAGAAAACTTAGGTTCTTTGAACCAGGAGACAAGGTTAAATTATTATTACCTGATAAGAAAAATAAGTTCTTTATTAAATGGCAGGGTCCATTTACTGTTTTAAGAAAAGTCACAGATGTAGATTATGAAATCTGTATCAATAACAGAAACAAAGTGTTTCATATCAACATGTTACAAAAATACAATGAAGCTACTGATACAGAAGAAGAAGACGAAGAACTTGAAAAACATATTTCATGCTTAGCAATTATTCCAGAAGAAAATGAGGAGGATATGGATGAATTAGTAGTACCAACTACAACTTCTAGACAGACTGAAACCTGACAAGATGTCAAGATGGACAATTTATCATCACAAAGAAAAAAGGATATAACGAATCTACTCCAAGAATATGCTGATATATTTACAGATGTTCAAGGTAAAACGACCATTATAAATCATGAAATCAAATTGACAAGTGACAAACCTACCAAGTCACGTCCATATCCACTACATATTTACTATAGAGATTTCTATCAGAAAGAAATCAATGATCTTTTAGAACAAGGCATAATTGAACACTCGAATTCACCTTATGCTGCTCCAATAGTGCTAGTAAAACGTCCACAGTCATCATCGCCAAGAATGTGTGTAGATTTTCGACAGTTGAATAAAATAACATGCATTGATTCTTATCCAATGCCTAATCCAGAGGATTTAATGTCACAGTTTTCTGGAGCTAAGTATTTTACGAAACTCGATTTGACAAGAGTATATTATCAAATACCTATGACACAGGATTCAAAACAATACACTGCTTTTACTACAGCCTTTGGCCTTTTTCAATATAATTACATGCCATTTGGTTTAGTAAATGCTAGCAGTACTTTTAACCGAGCCATTCATAGGATGTTCGGACAAAGAAAAGACACAGTGTCCTATATTGATGACATATATGTGTTTCATAATACATGGGACGATCATATTAAAGGACTCAAAGAAATCTTCCAACAGTTGAAAGACAATGGATTTACTGTAAAACCAAGCAAAGTTGAATTAGCAAAATCAGAAGTTACATTTTTAGGTTATAAAGTTGGACACAATTCACTGAAAACACAGGACAATATTATAAAACGAATTTTGGACATTAAAATACCTCAAACAAAAAAGCAGGTTAGAAGTAAATTGGGACTTTGTAATTTTTACAGATGCTTCATTCCAAATTACACATCACTTACAACACTTCTTACTAACCTTACGAAGAAAGGACAATCTAACACAATTCCATGGTCATCAGAATTAGAAGAGACCATAAAGAACATTCAGTATGCTTTTGCACAAGAATCCATTTTGAAATTACCAGACAAGAAGAAGCGGTTTTATCTTGCTACAGATGCTTCCTCGTCAGCAATAGGAGCATGTCTGATGCAAGAATATGAAGGCATTCTACATCCTGTATTTTTTATAAACAGAAAACTATCTTCAGCAGAGACCAGATACTCGACCATTGAGCGAGAGTGCCTGGCGATTGTCTGGGCTATTTCAAAATTTAGGAGCACCCTTTACTTTACAGACAGATCATGCACCACTGGCATTTCTCAACTCTAAAAAAATGTCAAATAGTCGTCTGACACAATGGAGTTTGCAGTTAATGGACTATCAGTTTGATGTAAAGACTGTTCCAGGAAAATTGAATGTTTTTGCTGATACTTTGTCTAGATGTATGTAGATACTATACAATATATTGTTTATTGTTTAAGTATATTTTGTTTTAAGTCAGAAACACTAAATTTATTCATTTTTTATTCCATGTGTTTAAAGACATTTCAATATTCGATATTCTATAAAGTAGCAAAGGAGATATGATGTATCTACTATTCAGTTGTTTTGTAATATGTTAGTTACACAAGTTGGGAAATGTTCAGTTTAATATATCGATTATTAACAATAAATGTATAGACCTAAGATGTATATTATATATATATATGCTGAATGAGTACAACATTTTGATTTTGTTTTCTATTTATTTGTTAACATAATGAAACATTTTTGTTTCTATTTTTAGTTATGAGTTTTGTACATTCAATAGAGCAATTATATCAGTGTTTTAGGCATATGCTATGCTACTTGCTTTTATATGCAATTTTATCAATGTTATAGGCATATGTAATATTGCTATTTTACGTATTTTATATTGCATACAAAATGCTAAAAAGGCAAGGGGGTAATGTCATGAGTCGAGTCTGTGACCTATTTCGATCAGTTTCTAGAAGCTCAAGTTCAACCAGTGCAAGTGTCCAGCGTAAACAAGTTAATTTTAGATATCCAATCGAAGAAAGAGGTTAAGGAAAAAAAATAGCACACGTCAGCTTCTAGAAGGTCAAAGTTACTAAAATAATTATCGGAGAAGGTTCCAGGATTCTGGAATGTACGATCAAAGAAAGTATAAATTAAGGGAAAGTGAGACGGGGTCCTCGCATAGTAGTAGTTCTTGTAGAGCGTTGGTTCTCGCTCAGTAAAAAGTTTTATGATATTAGCGGGTCCATTAAGTAAAGTTTTAGTAGTTGAAGTTGAAGTTATACTAAGTGAAGTTTTATGTATCATTTAAGTTTTATTTATGAAGTATCAAGTCAAGTTGTTATTGAATTAAGAAGTTAATTTTGATGTGAAAGTTTGAAGAAGTTATTAAAGAAGTTTGAAGAAAATACAGGGAGATGTTTTTTTCTTCATTTCATTGAATTGTCAAGTATTGAGAATATAATCCCCGGCAAATGTGCTTGTCACACACACATACATTGATATTTATCATTCTTTTAAAGAACATAATAAAACAAACATGTATAATGTGACTAAAAGTGCTAAAACGTCTGCACCAAAGCTTCCTGCTTCTGTTTAAATTATAAATATTTTCTTTTTCTTCTTCAATGTAATAGTAATCATTGCTTAATTATTTCTCTTTCTAGATACCATCATACTGGAATGGTTACTAGTGTTTATGGGTTAAGAGAAGGTCTGGCAAGGTTAGCAGAAGAGGTATTTTTAAACTTCATTTCATGCTTAATGTTGTATTTTCTAAATCTAGGATTAAGTGGGTTTTTTTTCAACTATAAATGATTATAACAATCATTATTAAACATTAAACAAACAGCCTACCAGAATCAAAATCAATTTTGTTAAAAGTCATTAAACTGTTACCTTACATATTATGATAAATTATTGTTTATAATTTGGAAAACAGATTACCATGGTCATTAATTTAATAATTTTTTTAAAATCCAGTTTCCATTTGTAATAATTATTTAAATTCATTTTCATGTTATCTGTATTTAACTCAGCTTTCATAAAGTTGTCTTCTAGCTGGAAATAGGTTGATGAAAACAAATGAAGCTGTAGCTTACCAATAACTTTGGTTTCATATGATTGTATCTTGTCAAGAAAGAAATTATTTGTGTAACTGTTAATATATAGAAGAAAAGGAGTAAGCTAATGTTGTCTTTAGTTTTACAATTATTTTCATACATAGGGTTTGGAGAAGTCCTGGAAAGATCATAAGGATAGTTCAGAGCTTCTTTACCAAGGTCTAGAGAAATTGGGTCTTGAACTCTTAGTCAAAAATAAGGTATCTTAATTGAAATTCTTTTTTTTATTTGGACTTGTAACGTCAAGGTCAAGCATTATGTTTCTGAACATACAAGGGAAGACTGGGATTTTTAATTTAAGATTTTAGAAAATCCCCAGATAGACCCAGTTTAAAGTGTTACTGGTCATAATTTGAGGAAAGTTTGGCATCTATTCATTGCCTAAACTCAATTAACCTTTGCTACAGAAAATGGTCCAATTTACATCAGAACCATACCTTATACTTTCCAAAAGTCAACTGGACATGTTCACTTTGCTGCCAAAATGTTATTGATACATCCTATAAAGCAATGTTGTTTTTATTGAAATCTTTTTTTTTTTCAATTTACAGATAATGACAATAGAATTGAAATTTAAGATTATATTTATTGCACCAACCAAGGCAATATATAAAATCAAAATTTTTCAATGTTTGATTAATAGTTTTAGAAATGTCTACAAAAAGTTAAGCCATCAATATATATATTATATATATTGCACTCGAGACAAGCCTTATTATATATTGAAATATTTCTTTTACATAGGAAATCAGAAATCCCTGTGTTACAACCATCAAAGTTCCACCTGGCATCAATTGGAAAGATGTTACAGACTATGCAATGAAAAAGTAATTTTTTAAAACCTTGTTTTCTCAAGTTGGTTTTATGTTTTTTAACTCTTTTGAAAAGAATTTAATGTTTTCTTCTTGACTTGTATATTGTCAACAAAAGTTTCTTTCACAGGTTTTGGAGAAGTTTAGTAAGAAAGTTTGTAAACAATATTTCTAAAAGTTGTTTTCTATTTAAAACTAGTAAACCTTGACATTTCTATCTTATTTCAAATAGTTCATAGCTTTGAAACATTAAATATATGGATTTTTATTAAAACTCACTTTTTAAAAATTTATTGCAGTTATCGTGTTGAAATAGCAGGAGGTCTTGGAGATCTAGCTGGTAAAACTTGGCGAATCGGAATTATGGGATACAACTGCAGACCAGAAAATGTTCAGCTGGTGCTTAGAGTATTAGAAGAAGCCTTGGAGAGCATCAAAAAATAAAATTTGTCACCAAATATTTAGGCTTTCTATGTTTTGTTTTCATTACTAAAATCTGTGATGAACCTGAAGTTGTTTATTTGACATAATAATCAAAATACTGTTAATTTATTGTACTCCTGAAAATATGTCAGCTTCAAAGTACATATCAGGGTTTTTTTTGTTTTGCATTGATTGTGGCATTGATCTTCTGTTACTACAAACTACTTTTACTAAATTAATTACTAATTGATATTAAACATTGTCATTTCAGTAATAGAACAAGTCTCCAATCTTTTCAACCAATATATTTTGTTTCAGTTTTAGTTAAAAGTGTTTCCAAAAGGTTATGGTACCTTTTTATTTTTTTAAAAAAAAAAAAAAAAAAAAAGCTTCATTCATGCTTATTAGTAGGTGGTGCCTACATGTGTTCATAAGAATAACAAGTATGAGAAACACTGATGCAACCAGTATAATTATTAATTTCTAAATATGATGAGCTTGACAATATTTAATCCAGCAGGGTAATTAATTTTTAGTGTGTTTACTTGTGTATAATTGTAAATAATCTTGCTGTTTGTGCCATACAATAGTATAATTGTATTAATAAATATGTGCATTCATCAAAAGTTTGAGCTTGTTTTGGTTGTTATGGAGGAATAAAATAAAAAGATGTAAGCTTTAAATTTTCTTGAGTTACCAACTTTTGGTTTTAATTGTTGTCATTCTTAGTAAACAATTGTACATGGGGAAAAAAATATATAAATGCCAGTATATATTCCTATGTATTTAACCTACTCAGTACAAAGCTATAAGGGAAATTTATATTTACAATCTTCAAATAGTATCCTGAGCTGAAATCAAAGCACATAAGTAGATTGTCATTACTTGAACTTGATTATTGATGTTTTTCAAACGTTACTTCAGAGTTGAAGATAATCTATATCCTTGTCCAAACCTCATACAGGATGACGGGAAATAGTAGCGGATAGGGTATGAACCCTGGAGGTCAAGATAACCGAATGACAATCCAGTGCACATACCACACAACCAGGCGATTATCCTAATTTAAGCTAAATACAGTTTTACAAGTTTGGTATATGGCCAATACCAATAATTAATAATTTGATCAGAAGTTGTGATTAAAAATTAAAAGGAGCCTTTATTGAATGTAAAAATACCTTAGCAATTAATATATTTTGGGAAACACTAACTTACAGTTAATCAATTTACACAATTTAATTTTAGATTGGTTATATTTCAGGACTACCATTAAAAGGGTGACAAATTTAGATTGGTTATATTTCAGGACTACCATTAAAAGGGTGACAAATTTAGATTGGTTATATTTCAGGACTACCATTAAAAGGGTGACAAATAAAAAAGTCAATAGAGATATTTTTTTAAATGGTTTCTTTATTTCAACTTATTAGTATAACTTGATCTTCATTCAACAGTTATCTCTCTTTACAAAGTATATTTATAGTATTATACTAAAATAATAATAATACACACACAAAAAAAAATCACATGAAAACTATGTCAAGGACAATCAAATTCATTTTTTCCTTTTAGACACAAGGGAATCTGCAGCTTGGTCAAATCCTTCCTCACCAATATTCATCATGAGAGAGTTGGTATTTAGGTACACTCTATTCTGAGATTGGGCAATCTAAGAAACAAAAAAAGACAATTTTTTTTATTTGCAACACCAACACATTTTTTTTTTCAAAATAAAATAACTTTACCTTAACTTAATTATCAATGAAAGAGAATCAAATGTCAGCTGAATAGTTAATATATATATAAAAAGAAAGAAAAGCTCTGCATGACTACTAACTCTTCACCACTTGGAAACTATAAAGTAAAAATTAAATCCCTTAACAGGAAAGAATGAAGCCCTTTTCAATTCAATGAAATCTTACAATTTTTGTGTGTACTTTCATGTTTTCAGTTTCTATTCCTGTTTTTTTCTTTGAATTAAGGCATTTATTAAACATGTCTGAAATTAATAACACTTATAAAAGCAATCATATATTTCACTTTTTCAAAAACACTCAATGAAAATGTCAGCAGTGTGAATACACCTGTAAAGTAAATTACTAAAAAAATTCCCTGGAGAATGCTAAGCAGTAAGGGCTCGTTTTGTATCTAGAAATGAAAACTAAGCTAGAAATGAAAAATAAGCAGCCTAAAAAAAAGTGGATGTGACAGTGGTTTAAATGTAGAAAGGGTGCTTTGTGATCTATAGGAGCAGAGAGTCTGTGCTAGGGAACCCACTATTAGACATTCCATTTGAAGGCTTTTAAATTATTATTATTTTGTATTCCCTTTATTCCCCAAGTCCAAAGATTAACAGTAAAATATCAAAATAAGTTCAAATATGCTTACTGTTCTTGCAATGTTCTGTGCAGCTCTGATTTTCCTCAACTTGAGATAGCCAGGATTTAAACTCATGGCTTCACCAATTAATTTAGCAGCTTCAGCTTCTCCCTCAGCCTGCACAACTTTCTGTTGTTTCTCCTGAATGGCTCTTTCTACCAAGAACTGGGCTCTTTGGGCATCTTGTTGGGCAATCTAGAGTGTTTCAACAAGTTCAAAAGGTTAATACAGACAATGGGTATACAACAAATCAGAAATTTTTCTAACAAAAAATAAGACTGTGGCAACAGAAAATTTAGTCAATGGCCAGCAAGACTATAGCTAGAAAAAGTTAACTTATAGTTTATAATCTGCTTATGCTTTATGCAATATCAATTTACTGGGTTCATTTTAGAACAACTTGAGTGACAGCATTGGTAAAAAAATTTATTTCAAAATATTATGCCTAGTTTAACTTCAGTACCTGTTTTGATTCAACAGCTTGGGAATATTCTTTGCCAAAGCTAAGTTCAGTGATTGAGACATCATCAAGAATGATGTGAAAATCTTTGGCTCTCTGGTTTAGTTCTCGTCTAATCAGCAAGGAGACTTGTTGACGTTGAGTGATTAATTGAGAAGCATTGAATTTAGCTACTACACTCTTTAAAACCTGGGGCAAAAAAAAAGATTAAGTAAAATTAACATATAAGTCAATGAATCTTATTAGATGCGACAAGACAATGTAAAATAACACAATGTACTGCTATTAAGAAATGTTATGTGTTCTTTATTTTGAGAGAGAGAGAGCTAACATCCAATAAATATCTTACTTCATTACAAATTGAAGGCAAAACTCTTTCATCATAATCTGTACCAAGTTGTCTGTAAATTTGAGGCAGTGCCATGGCATTAGGACGAGACAAAACTCTTAGTGATATATTTACCATCTGCAAGTCTGGGGGGAAAAAAAAACAAGAAAAATTAGACTGTAAAATAAATATACAGAATGATTTTACATTTTAAAACATTCCTGATCAAGCGATTCTCATAGAAGAAGCTTCACTGACGTTCTTTTTATACCTTTGCTCCCAGTTGGTGATGATATTTTGTGTGGTCGAGATCTAATGTCATAAATTATTGGATACTGGAACCAGGGAACCCTGAAATTTAAAATAAAACATTTATTTCCCTAATTATTTACAATAATATTTTACATAAAAAAATTGAAATATTTATTTGCAATTTAGAAAAAAGTCAAGTCAACTTGTGCAATTTAAAAAAAACAAACAAGTACACTGCACTGAAACATAGTTATTCCTCAAGTCCCCATAAGCTTGACACAGTAAATTTAAATAGTGTTGCAAGCCTATATAGCAAATACACAAGGCATGATCTGATTTTATTTATGGTGAAAATTTTAACACACTTGATGTAATCACTCGCTTGAGAGCAGTGGCTCTTAATAGGATGACAATATGTGGTCCACAAATCATTAAAAGTTACCTAGACATATATTGAACAGAAAGATTAATAAATATATATAAAGACAGAAAATGAAATTGATAAGGGCTATCAGTAGATGCTGCATATTTAGCATTTTAAATTTCTTTTGTTGTTGAATTAAATTTAATGTTATAAATTGAAGCTTGTAATTCAGAAATTACCATTGTACCTGTTATACGTGGACAGATCCTTTTTTAATTTCCTGCTTCAAGTAGGTCTGACATTTTTATAAAGAACAAGATTCATTTCATGTCTACAAATTACTAAAAGTTGTAAGTAAAATGAATACAAATATAAGAGCTACGTTCATTGGATTAGTTTTGAGGTACTTAATGTTGTCATGGTAATAGCTGATATCTATATTATAAACAAGTGTTAAATGTCAACACTTTTATATATAATATACATTTATTTGACTATTTAATTTGTGTTTTGTATATATATTATATATAATGTATTATAATATATCTTTGCTTTAAAAAGTAAATGGGCATACCTAAAGTGAAGTCCTTCAACATAAATATCTGGCTTGATACCAGATAACCTGCTAAATATAATCGCTCTGTGACCACCTTCAACTGCAGCACACAAAAAAAAAAAGTTATTAGGTTGCTTGTAAAACACTTTTGCAGATTATTTGAAAATGTCTTAATTATAATTTTTAAAAAAAGGTCCCTCTGGTGTTAATTATTATTTTTATTTCCCTTTGCTGACTAAATAATGAAAGACTTTTTAAATATATATATATGTATCAATATTTTGTTCTTTTATTTAAAAGAAAGAAAATAATAATAATCTAGATACTTAAATTTGTTGTTTTTTTTTCTAACTATAAAAAAAAATTCACAATCTTCAGTTGGAAACTATTTTCTAGATCTAGATCTAAGTCATTACAATTACACACAATAATGACCTGCAGTTTAATATCCTGTTACTGAAGGTGTGTATAGAAGACGGAGGTGTGTGCATGTTAGGCAAATTTTTTTTTTGCTTTTCTTGTGGGGTTGGGTTTGTCCATATCTAAGTGCTCTGAGAATATAGATGTAGACAGATTAAATTATAACAATCTAGATAATCTTCATTCTTCTGATGAAATGGAATAAAAAAACTAAAATCTGTATGCCGCTGATAAAAGCAAAAAGCGAGATAGATACACTATGGGCTAAAGCATCTCATGAATTAGTGAATCTAATAGTGAAGCTTAATAAATGGAGCCTATATTACTCTTTGAGGACCACATCTGGATTCAATCGTTAGGTCCTAGAATTTAAAAACAGCCAATCTATCCAGATTCAACTGCATTTTTTGTTGTGAGGTCTTTATGAGAAATAAAAAAAATGACAACCTGGAAATTTGAGGAGAATTTAAACAAACTGTAGCAGTGTAGTAGTCTAGAATTTGAGATGAGGATGAGCAAACAGACTCAGTGAGTTTTACCTTTCACGTAATTTTCTTTTATATGAAGACTGCTACTAATTTTTTCCTTTGAAAGGAAGACAAGGCTGTATGCTTTCCCCAACAATCTTCTTATTGGCAATTGACTGGAAAATGAGGTCAACTGATTGCAACACAGGCATATAATACAATGGACTCAATGACAAAACAGCTTGAGGATCTGGATTTTGCAGACTTCTATGATATCTGCCTCCTTTCACATGCTCAGACAATATCAAACAAGCTCGCAATAGAAGACTGGTTTAAAAATCAATTTGCAAGAAAACTGAGGTGATGAGAATTAATAATACCCAAGAAACACCACTACAGCTGCAGGGAGAAAACCTATTATATATAAGAAACTGATAATTTTCATTATCTTGGAAGCA